CTAGCTTTCAATTCAAGGACTCGATAATTTATTCTCCTCTCTTGCTGGTTAAGATTTCAACGGTTGTAAGATTCTACTAATTGCTGTATCCTAATCCTATTAGGTGGAAGTAACAACTTATCTCATCAATAAAATTGTATTTCTACCCATTAGGTCTGTTGTTAACTTGATCTGAATGATCTAGATCTACAGAAGGAAAATATCGGACCCAGAATATATTGAAATACTGATTAATAATCGATCCATATTACCTCATTTTTGGTTGGATGAGGGAGAACCAGCTGATGTGCATGCAAGTAATAGCCGCAGTCTCCAGGAACAGGTTGCATGGGCCTTTGATATCCTCTACATAATTTTCGAAAAAAAAAGAGTTGAATTTTCATGAGCATGCAAACAACTTGGGAAAGAATCTATTTATGACTACAAAAGAGCTCAGCGTTACATAGATATATCTCAAATGATTTCACATTGGGGAATCTTGAAATATTATGATGCAGTCTGCCACAGATTTTGCTGTATATAGTAGTAAATGACTCCAGGCTAGCGCATTTCTCTTATGGCGTGGTTCTGTAACATATTCTTGTTCTGTGACATTTCTTCTTTTTTTTTTTTTTCCTTTTTTCTGTTAAATTAGCTTTTTACTGGAGGTTATTTGCTAAGATGGTCTTTGTGAAAGACAGTATAAGAAAGTAAAAGAGCTGCAAACTAAAAGAAAATTACAAAGGGAAAAATCATAAATACAGACAGGATCTCCATACCCATCTTCAGCAAAGCTTTCATCTATAAGTTCAGGATTGACATACTTGGGTTGCCCACCAACAACATAGAGAGGATCACCTGCTCAATGGCAAAGGCAAAATGTCAGGCTCATCTGCTGAAGAAATTTATACCACAACTCTTTTCAGTTAACATCAGGGTCAATGTTAAGGCTTACTGAACCAAAAGATACAGCAAATCGTTTGAAGGGATTTCCAGCCTGTGATTAGTTGATCTAAGCTTCTATATACAACATCCTGGTTACATTAGTGCTTCCTAAGGCCATTGGAAACAACTGTAAAGATAATCCCCGATAACTACTTAGGCCAAACATGTGAACACAATTAATGTGGAGATTTCTTAGAAGTCTAATTTCTTACTGTAATGCTGTTTGCATATGATGGTTAAGGCAATCTTCACATGCTGAACTCATCAAAGCAATACACGAATCAGATTTGAGATTTTCTATAAAAGAGCCTGCGTTTCACTTTGACACCTCAACAGAGATAGGTAAAAGTTCAGAGAAGAAGATTCGCAGTTTCGAACAGTCATAAAGTCAATTGAAAACTAAAAGGACCATAAAGTTAACTTGAAAGTATACCCAACAAAGGATGTCCTATAAAAGAAAGGTGAATCCGAATCTGGTGCGGGCGCCCTGATTGAATCTCAACCTGTTAAATTCCATCTATTATACACGTGAAGGACATAAAACGATTCTTCTCTACTCTTTGCTATGAAAAATTGAAATGAAACATACTGTGCAGGATACTTTATTTCTACTTTAAAAGCATTGGAACTGTAAATAATATGACAGTTCAAGATGTATCTAGATGAAAGAGGCATATACCTGGACCAGCGTCTGGTTTTCTGGTACGTTTCTCTCAAGGACATCAACTTTACTAAGAGCTGGTTTCCCTGGTTAGATAGAGAAAAGGATAGCAACCATTACCTGAACCGTAAATGCACTTTAAAACATGCATAAAAGAGAAAGCAAACAATGAAATAGTAAAGGACACTGCAGTGGATATTTAACTAGCAACTGTAGACAAAAACTTGGAAACATGATAAAAAAATACTACTATCTTTTGGGTCCTTTGGCATAGCTACCGGCTAGAAGTCTCTTTTTGTTTTCACTTTACTTTAAGAAAATTATAACTGAACATAACTTCCGAGAGAAGTAACTATAGAATACAGGATAGTAGACTAGCAAACCTGACGGAGTAGCAACATAAAGCCCTTTTGCCACTCCAGGATATCTCATGACACCAATTGGCTGCCTGATGATAGCCTATTGTTTACAAGATAAGGAGGATTTCAGCTCACATAAGTTATGTGTCATAAACTGGGCACAGGCATTATCATCGCCCAATCAGTACTTTCCCCAAAAAATGCACAAAAAACATATGATAGAAGAGCTTCGATGTGAGTGATTACCTTATCCTCATCAAGTATCCCACTTACAAGTGCCCTATATATCTTAGAAATTTTTCTTCTCATACCAAGTTCTTGGTTTTTTTTACTGTAAACACGAAGATTGTAGATCTTATCAGTGAAGTGTACAATTAATGAAGAAAGTCATACAACTGGACCCGGCCATCTTATTAATTGACTGTAAAATTTACAGGAAATTTTTAAGAAAATAGTACTAACTATTGAATAAATTTAATAGCAATATTCCCCTCTTCCATGTCAAGTCATTCATCAGCTGTGGGTCCTTCCCATTATGGATCAAGTGATCAGAATTATAGATAGATGGTTAAATGTTTTTGGGTCTGTAATACTGGGACGATGGGTGGGATGATTTTGGGAAGCCTATTGATGTTCTAACCGGGATGTAAGTACTTTGTACACGAGTAACACTCCCGTGGTGCTGTATATTGGGTTCAGGTCAGTTAGTTTCAAATGTTGTACTATTTGCATTATTAGGTCATTTAATTCTTAGATTTTGGGTCAGCCAGGTTTTTATGTGGCTCAAATATCTAGTTCGTATAGCTAGCAAACTATTTGATTTTTAATTGTTTACGAGGACATTTGAGATTGTCTATTTGGTGCTAATAAGAAACTTTAAACACTTTATTCTTTATCCATTTAGTAACAAAATAATTTGGCCACTAGTTAGGTGTTTAGTAACTCCAATTAAAAAAAATGAGCATTCTACTCTGAACTTTTCCTAAGCACTTCTTTTGTCTAATAGTTTACTTTTTCCTTCCTTTTACATTTTTTAAACAAACACCTGACTTGTTTAAGCAACTTAAAGAAGATTTTAGATCATTTTGCGGTTTCTTTTTTCTTTTTTTTTTTCCTGACTCAAGTTTGGTTCTATAATGAGTCATTAGGTTCAACTCACATTCAATTTCTAATAATGCTATTAACAATCTTTACACTAGTCTGGAAATATATAATCACAACATTTTTCTTTTATTTTTTTTTGAGCTACCTCCACCCCCACCTTGAAATCTTTTGTGGGGAATTTTCAATTTCTAGCTCTCAAAGCAGAAATCTAATATTCCACCCAAGAATTTTAAGGTGGTTATGGAGCTAGCTCTAACAGACAAATAATCCAGTAATTTAAAATTTCAAGATTAGGTAGAATATTGTATGTAGGAGCTAGCTATGAAAGAAATGAGAATTGAACTAGAAGTGACCTTATATTAGATTTTGGGTTTCCTCATGATCGTATTTCATGTATATTTCAAGTTTGGGCTATTTCATGCTCTAGTTAACTGAGTTTTGTATTATTTTGGTTAGTACGTCAAGAGGGTACTGAGTTACTGAGGTTTTAGCTATCTAAAAGCTTGATTGTGTGGACATCACTTCATCAAAAGTTTGGCTTATTTGTGCTGGGAATGGTGAATTTAGTCGGTCAATATGAGTTGAGTCAGATTTAGATTCCGATTGGCTGGGCCAGGTAGGTTCGCTTTTATCATCTCTGATAAATGCTTATCAATAGGGTTAAGGAAAAATAAGCTAGTTAAAAGGAAACTAAATCTTTTTACTTCAAAATATTTAAAATAGACAAAGGCCTGGATATGACATTCCCACAAACCTGGTGGCTCCAACAAGTGATGTCCCATCGGCAAAATAAGCTGCCAGGTGAGTTTTTGCGAGTTTTGACTTTGCACAGAGTAATATCCCTAGAATCAAGCAGTCACTTTTCAGCACAACGAAACTATGAAATGAGCAACAATTGACTTGTTATTCTACAAAGGTAACATAAACATTTTCAACGTAGTAGAAGCAATCCTGTTGAAAGAATGTAATATGCTGACATTTAGTGAAGAAACAAGCAAGCAAGCACCCAACACCAATTAATGCAGTTTAAACCAACAGTTCTGTTTCAACAATGTGAAAGGCTACTAGAGCAGATAAAGAGCGGGAACTCCAAGAGCAGATAATCAGTCAAGGTAAGTCACTCCATATCTCAGCTTTCACCATCTTTTTCCCACTAATTTATTTTTTAATCAGAAACTCAGCAAGTATCTATTAAGTACAAAGGCCTATCAATGCATTTTCCTTCTCAATAGCTTGCTTCAAGAAGTTAGGAATTAGGAAAAGATTTCAGCTCCCTTTTGCTTAGAAATCTGATTATTAAAATTGGGACGCATTTGCAAGATGGAGTCATGGTCTTTCTATAATCAGCATAGAAACATGTCTTGGCTAACCTGATGTGCCTCTTCCTAGGCGATGAACAGGGACAGGATGCGATTCCTGGCTTTTCAACAAAGAGCTGTGCTTGCTTACCAGCCATTGGAGCTGTGTTAAAACAGTCCTCTGCTGAAAAAGTCCCCCTGGCAACACTTGAAGACCAGATGGCTTGTTCAAAGCAATCTGAACTCACAACCATTATATCAAGTCAGCTGAAAAGAACCAACATAACAGTGGATTAAACCAAATTATCGGATTGGTTGTAATGAAAAGCTACTTTGAAGCTACATTTGGTTACTAAAAAAGGAGAGCTGAAGAAACGAAAAAAGAAAAAGGAAAAAAGAAAATTAGCTTAGTTTTGGTCAGCTTTTCATTTTTGGGAACCAAGTTGAGGACATAGATTGACAGGGACTCAAAATTTCTAAAGCTTCTAGCCTTCACAATTTTAGAGTTTTTTCAAACCAATGAAGAGGGGGAAGAGGGAAGTTTTGACAGCAAACAAGTAAATATCCTCGTTGGACATTCAACACAATAAGAAACATAAGTTAACATCACTCCTAGCACATAGTGAAAATGAAATCAATAACAAAGGAACATGTTGAGAAATATAACCAACGTTTCAAGCTACTCTGTTAGATTTCAAATCGAATAACATAATATGTTTAACCCCGCCAGAAGTGAAAACAATTTGCATAAACTACAGTTGCATACTATAAATCATATACTGGGACATTTACCATATCATCATCTTCATAAAGAACCTCTAACAAATGTGGTGCATCAGGCTCTTTCCAAGGAAGCCTATGATAAGATAATCTCGAACCAGTACTATAAAATCAATAACGCCAACTAATTAACACCATGATCTAGATCGAACAAAGAAGAAAATAACAAAAAATGGTAAACCTGAGAATTGTGTAGGGATCTGTAACAACTTCTCCGTCAATTTCTATCTGAAGAAACAAAATTATCAAAAACTTTAATTAACAATCCAATTTAATCCGAAACATCTATAAAAAAAAAAAAAAGCGTTCTCATGATATTTACCTGTCCATTTCGTATTCGCTGCAACCAACTGTTCGATTATTAGTTCAAAGAAAGAAAAAGAGTGAAAAAACGATAATAGTTTATTAACCTAAATATCATCGTTTTACAACTTCCGCACACTAAATACGTATATATACGTATCGTACACGTATAACATAGATTGAAGAATTGTTTACCCCTGTAACGGAGCTGAATTCTTGTACTTGTTAGAGTAGAAATCTATAAGCGTAAAATCTGTGAATCAAATACACAAAATGTTAGTCGGTTTTCTTTTCTTCGTTGTTATTTGTTCGAATGGATATAAAAAAGAGGAAGTGGGGACCGGAGTCGGAGGATCGAACGATGTCGTTGTAGGTCAGGCCGTCGTTGAGATCGGGCCAAGGAAGTCCGAAAGTCCGAGAGGTAGCTCGCAACATGGAGACGACGATTGCGGTTTAGCAGACAATAGGAAACGGTAACGCTCTCCAGTTGGAGTCTCAATAGCGAAGGCGACTGATGATCCTCCTTTAAAGTTTTAGCCCGTGGCCGCACAGGCATAAACGTGGAGATGGCCGAGTTGGTTTAAGGCGCCAGATTAAGGTTCTGGTCCGCAAGGGCGTGGGTTCAAATCCCACTCTCCACATTCTTTTTTTAACTTTTCATTATACAGCTTTCTTCTTCTTTTTTTTTTTTTTTTTTTTTTTTTTTTTTTCCAATAATCACTATATATATTTTTTATTATTTTTTAATTATTCCCCTAGAATTTTTGTTACTTTAATTATTTTTTAAAAAATAATAAGTACATATATTCTTATGTTTTCACACTTCTATTAATTTAGTCCATCTGTAATTAAAAATAATTTGGGCACCAAGAAAATCTATATATTTTTTTTATTTGCATTTTAATTGAATTAATTAACTTATTATATTCTAACATTATTCTTAATTAATAAAAATTATTAATTTAAATTAAAAACATTATTTGAATCAAATTCCTCACCATTCATAACGCAGTTTTTGTGGGTTTCAATTTAATAAGGCGTTTGAGTTCAAATCTTATAAAGGTTGTTATAAACATGTCTTTTTATTTCTTAAATTTATATGGTATTTTATTTAAAATGTAAATATTATGTGTTTTAAAAAGTAATTCTGTTAGTATTTTTAGTATTTCATGAATATTTAATTTCTAAATCTTTTTATAAATACACGAACTTAAAAATAAAAATAAAAATTATAGAATACTTTTAATTTGTGTAATTTATTTGTAAATTTACCCACTCGTTTTACATGCGAAATCTTTTAAGATTTTATGTAAAATTCAAAGAATGCAATTTGAAATGCATTGTTCACATTTCACATTGAATTTTTTTTTTAATATGACAATGTGGAAACCCTATAATTATAACCTGAGTTTGGATTTTACATGGGTCAAATATTCCCACACACACACACACACACACACATATGTATACATATACATGTTATAAGCATGGGAGAAATAGAGGCATCCCTTGAATTTTCTCCACTTATCAACACTAACCACACCAGCAAGGAAGTTTAATTTTTTTTAATATGACAATGTGGAAACCCTATAATTATAACCTGACTTTGGATTTTACATAGGTCAAATATTCCCACATACACACACATATATATACATATACATGTTATAAGCATGGGAGAAATAGAGGCATCCCTTGAATTTTCTCCACTTATCAACACTAACCACCCCAGCAAGGAAGTTTAGATAGCATGAACAGTTCAAAGCCAAAGACCAAGTCTAGATTATCTTTATAGAGAAACACAGTTGTACCAAACATTTATTAATTTGGTATCCAGCATGCATTAGGTTTGACCAGCTCCAGAGACAGATTCCCAAAAAAAGGAAGAAAAGCACTTTGGGACTCTTTCAACAACTACTGCTACTACATGCCAAAAGCCAAGCCGTCTTTGTTGAGTACAATACATGGAAATCAAGTAGTTGCTCCTACTTTCCTTCTAACCACTTGATTTTCCATTTATGAAACTTTCACAATTTCCAACCCATTTATTCCTTAAAAATTACAGTAAGGCAAACTTAGAAGAGACTTCATTCACAAATAACAACTCATTACATAAATAAAACATACACCATTCTCTATCTGTATCTCTTTTATTCCCTCAATCGATACAAGGGACACATATGGCATATGAAACAAAACAACTCTGTCGAACAAATGATGAATTATACCTTTGTAGGGATCATCAGAGATGATGAGAATGGTAGAAAACTCAGCAAAACACGTCCGCTGATGAAGACGACCCAGCCACTTGAAGAGAAAGAGGGTCCCACTGCACTTGTTTGCTGCAGGATCCACCTTTAACTGCAATGACCTCCAAATTACTTGCCATGCCAGCTAGGTTTTCCTCAATAGCCAACTTTTTTGCAGTGACTGCCTTCAGACGGTATCGCTCTGCCCTAGATCCAATCACCTGTCCTAGAATAGATGCTGCTATGGTGAAAGCCATTGCGGTCTTTGGCATCAACACTGACTTCCTAAGCATTCCTATGAATGGAACAGCTGCATGGACAGCTGCAAACCAGGATGGTGAAAATTTTTTGGTGTGTTCCCTCCATATCCCTAGAGGAATATTTGCAGCCATCCCCAGCACCCCAATCACGAGTACTTTTGCCGGCAATGGTTGAGGGCGAAGATTCTTTGCAAAAGCAGTTCGTGCTAATGCTGCTCTGGCTGCAACTATTGCTGGTGGGCATCTCAGCTTCATACCTGGTGGAGGCTGAAAAACCTTTGCAACAAGTGGCAGCACACCACTAACTGCTCGATATGACTTTGCAATTGGACAATTACCATTTTGTAGCCACTCATTGCTCATAGATTCGTGCTTCGAATTTCCTCCCTGATAAATCAATATGAGAAGATGTAAAGACCAGCTAAAGAGTCTTGGAACTTTTAATACACATATAATGAGGATGATAAAACTAGGAACACTGTTCTAACGAATAATTAGAAAAATCAAAGACTTGAATATCAACAGTGCCATTAAAATTGTTACTCATACTTCACAGAAGAATCAAGCAAAGTACGCTTGAGTGGAGACCAGAATTTATTTACCTGTGAAGAAGTCTCTTTCTTGGATGATTCTGATTTTTTATTTAGATCCTTCCACTTTCCTGCAAATAAATCAAAGCCAAAGGGGCCTCCAGGTCCAAAGGATGAGAGACTTATGGTGGCTGCTCTTGCCGCTAAAGGATTGAACTGGGGTGGGGCAGGCACAGGCTCTACTTTCTCAGCATGCTTTAATGATCTTTCAGAGAGTGGGACAACTCCATCACGCCCATGGAAAAGCCTGAATGCCATGTCGAAATTAGGTCCATCTTCAAAAATTGGTCCTTTGGCAGCTCGCACCTGAACAAGACAATCAATGAAATGAAAGAAATTAGAAATGCCTTGATCACAAATATTATTATCTAAATACATCTGTGCATTGCAGAATTCAAACAATCTCTGCATCCAAACCGGCTTGGTACTGAGGATAAAGACATCCTCCATGGATGTAAACTTAATCAATTTGAAACGGAAAACAGGTAAAGTTTATAACCTCATTGAAACCAAGATAAGATGGCACAGGGATAGGAGCATAAGTTAAAAGAACAAAAGATTTACAATAAACAAGCATAAGTCAGTCAGATACACTTACAGGCATGGGAAAGGCCAAGGATGATGAGAAAGAAAAATTAGTCGGCTCATTAATGTTCCTCAAAAATGGGCATCTGAGAAGGTCAGACTGAGAGGGCATTGAATCCTCGTTTAGGCCTCTAAAGAAGTACTCCATTCTTCTCGTAAGAAAGAAAACCTGCACAAAGAAAGAAAATATATAAAAACTAATGTCTTTAACTGCTATCAGAAAGAACACAAAAATTGACAAATGTTAACTGCGTGTCTATAGCATTCAAGCAAGTCAAAATCATGCTAGTAATCATGAAGCTCGAGTAAATTCAGTGTTATATGATAAACCCACATGCAGGTTTTCTATTTCTAACCAGTAATTTCTAGGCCATCAACATGCAGTCCATCAAAGAATTATCTACTGGAGACTCACATATTTCCTGACTCCTTTCTATATCATTGAGTCACCAAACTGCCAAAGTTTCATGGTCTATTTAGCACACACTTATTTTACGATTCAAGAGGAAAACAAAGGTCAGACGCAAACATGAACAAATAAGAAAAGAGATGACTAATAGACTGAAAACCCAATTGCGTATCTCTCCATAAACCATCTAGGAAGGTTTATATCCTGTTAAAGCCGTAAATGGATCTTAAAGCATTAATCAAGATATCAAACTCCAAGCAACAAAAACAAGTACCCCTCTTTGAAAAGCTAAGGATATTCAATTACAGCCAGGACCTGACAAGATTAGAAGCAGAAATCTCTGTAACCATACTGAATTAAGCTAAAGTCCTTCAAACCCCAAGCTTAATTATCATATAAACAGATCGAAACCAACATACAAACCACGAACAATCAAACAAAGCCTCAAGTGTTAAAAAGTCGAAAAATCAACTTTGCACCATCATCACCAACAAGTACTGCAGCGTACGAAAGCAAAAAAGAAGCCAATCCCGCGTAAAATCAACGAATCCAAAAAATTCACGAAACAAATCGATCAGCCACAATTACAGCATAATCATCAAGTTGAAGATTGGAAGCAAGCATATTTTTAGAAAAAAGGAAAAGCGCGGAAGATAAAATTAACCTGATATCGAATGCATTTAGTCACACACACACACACACACACACACAAATCAATAGATTCACCCTCTTACACATACGCAACAAAAAAGACAACAGAAATCAAGATGAAAGATTAAGATCGTCGTACGTACCTTTTGCAGCGACAAGGCAGAGAGACGACTGAGAGAAAAAGGAGGACAGAGAAAGTCTAGAGAGAGATGAGATGGAAACAAGGAAAGGAATCAATTAGAGAGGTGGGTGACAACAAAGTAGAGAGGAAAATGGAGAGGTGAGTTATTTTTTATTAGTGGAGGAAGACGAAGGGTGGGAGGGGTGGAGAGGAAACGACGTCGTGCTGAACACACGCCGTGTTGTAACTGATTCTTTTTAGTTAGGTCAACGCTCGACGGCGATGAAAAATCAAACGATGCGCGTGGCGACCATACCAATGAATTTTGCTCACAAAAAAGAAATTTTATTTATTTGTTTATTTATTTTCCCTATTTTCCATTTTTTCTATTTATTTTTCTATTTTTTAAAAAAGGAAAATCTTATCAACAATTAATAATTTCTGAATTGAGTGTTATTCTTAATATTTTTAATTAAATTTTAAATTTTAATTGACTTTTAACTTTTTTATAATAAGGTAGAAAAAAAAGTTCATATTATAATAACATCATCAATCATTTTCTTAAAAAATATATATATATATATATATATATTGGTTTTAGTTTGGTACCACCAGAAGAGAAGTAGTTGGTATGTACTGAATTTAGACAAAACTTACACTAATCACTTTCTGAGCACATTTTCTGGGTAGTTCACCATTGTGTTTCATAAGTTACCAAAGATCTTCAAACATTTGGCCAACAGTCTCAAGCATTGCAAGAGAGTCCAAGCACCAAAGCCGACAAACTTCTTATTGTACTTAACCCGACTTCAATTCATTGAATCCTAACTATCCAAACCAGATCTTCAAGTTTGTCCGGACTAAACGGGGATTTGAAACCCCGTTCGGCCAGACCAGATTACATGTTTCCCAGAGCACTCGAGTAACATGCACAAATTAAAGTAAAAGTATCAAGAAAGAAAAGAAACGAGAATTTTAATGTGGTTCGTCGATGTGCCTACTCTATGGAGTCACTTGCGAAAATTTTCACCACATGAAGAACCACATCTTACATTAAACTTCTTTCCTCACACAATTAGAAGTATGTCCTCAATTTTACAACAATCTACTAGTACCTAATTGCAAATAGTAAATTATCTGAAAAGGAGCCATAACTCGTCCCAATAGACTCCAGACACCATTTATCTACTTTGAAAGATCAAGAAGAGGGCATGCGTTAATCCTTATACTAAAACTAAAATACTCTTAACCTCTTAAGTTATAAAATATTACCTTAATATGTTAAATATTCCTAATAATATGTAAAAATAATTATATTTGGATGATTTTTTTCAGTTCCTTGCCTTCTACTCTGCATTAAATAGATATGAATTAATGCAGCCTACTTTTACACAAGCAAAAAGTTAAAAAAAAAAAAAAAAAAAAAAAAAATGCAGCCCACTTCAGAAAAAAAAGATGGAGAATCCCTTACTATAAAATAAACTGGTCAGTTATCTGGCAAAGTGTTGATATATTCAGAGCAGCAACCATCCTCTTCAAATTTACAGCAACACTAGCTAGGTCTGGCAAACGGAACAAACAAGTAGACTGCTCATTCTTTTTTCTTAGTCATCTTCCTCATTGGAGCCAGTCTCATGTCTAACAAGAAAAAAGACATCCGTGATAAGGAGACTAGTTAATATCACCGGTAGGATTATTCTCCTACATTAGTAAACCAACATATCAACGGCTATTTTTGAGTTGGTTCCTCGCTTGCTTTCTTGTATTCTGGCTTCAACTCATAAGATCCTTGATTAGTTCCCTTGTTGTTGTAGACACATAGTTCTTTCAGTATGTCTTTCAGGAATTGCTGCATAGACGGAAAGTTGAGAATAAAGCCCTAAGCATCGCTTGATTCAGCAAAAATGATAGCATTGTGGAGCAAGATAAGGCATGGTTTACTACAAGTATCTTACTACCATTAAACTCAGAATATATTGTTATAAACTAGAAATATTTACTTTTATTTTGTATACCTCTTTGGTTAAGATATTAGAATGTAAATCTCTCAATTATTTACCTATATTTTTGGCCATATGTAGCTACTTTCAAGTATAGGTAACTAGTATATATGTGCATATAGAGAACCATATAAATATATGTAAAACACCTTCCTCTCCACTGGTTTCACTATCAGTTTTAACACATAACATGAAGAACTTTGTACCATAAATACTTTGCACTTCAACATAGAGACCAAGCAAATAACGATAGAAATTGAAAACATGAATATCCACAAACATACTTCAGGTTGGTCTGTCTCTTGGATCAGTTGCCTTAGAGTCCAATTTGGCTGTCCTTCAAAAAGCTTAAACATAATCCCTTCCATCTCTCCACGGTCTCGTCTTGTTCTTTTCATTTCAGATGTCTTTGCTGACATTTTCTTCTTCTCCTATTCCAAACAGAAAGCATCCGTATTATAAACTGGTGGCAGTCATATTATAATATCATGACGTGCATATATGATGAAAACTGAGAACAAGTGACCCACAGGAAAAGGAATAAAATGCAAGTTCACTTAATGAAATAATATACAGAAAGAAGTTAGTTGTGAATACAGAAAATCCAGTAACAATCATCCCAGGCATAGGCCTCATATGGGTCCCATTATCATTATCAATGACCTGCAAAAAGAATTAAAAGGGTCATAAAAAAGCGGAAGGAATTGATTAATTGTAATATATCACAAACATATGACAATAAGTGAGGAAAACCTGTATCTGTCTGCTTTTTGTCATGTATTTGTTTGTTCTTTCACGACAGAGTTTTCCATAGTTCTCGAGGTTTTCGTTATGAGGCCTCATGTCGAACTTGTTTAGTATTTTTCCTTCCACTGAAAGCTTTCCTGAACCACAAGGGATTCCTCCAACTCATTTTATGATGATTGAGTACATTTTTACATAGAAGAGGCCAGAAAATAGTGGTGTCAAATCCCAGTTTAAAATGCAAAATCTTCCATTTTCTCAATGATACCATCCAATAAGATGCAATAACAGATATCTAAGGGGGAAGGGAAGGATGAAAAAGAAAAACAAAAGGAAATCCCAATTGCAATTACTTTTGCGACAAAAAATATACACAATCTTCCTACTACCAAGAGCCATAGTGAGGAAGAAAACATCATCTTAGAAGG